TAGCCAAAAGGCAGCCCATCTCTGTAGTGAAGCATCCTTAACCTTAGCACTGCTCGGAATTGTTTTTCTAAAGCTCCCTCGAATACTTTAAATGGCACACTGTACAGGGCTATAGCCATTTCAAACACGCCCTTTTTCTGAGTTGTTTCAATCGTCCATAAAGCCATCTGCTGTTCCATTAGTCTTCAGAAGTCCCCTAATCTTTTACGCACCTGTTCAAGTGCAAGTGGTTTAGCTGCATCTTTGCGACCTACACCTTCATTTGTGTACAATCAAAACTTGAGAACCTGATGCTCTTCTCGTTTAACAACAAATCATTCCATGCCTGTCAGTTTTGCAACTTCTCCTGAAGCACTTCGCTGCTATTTGAAGGTTGGCGTTCTTGATAGGAATGGTTGTCAGTGGTATGAGGTTTTTCACCATGACTGCTTAATTACATGAGAGGGGAACAAACTCTTAAGTAATCCTCGATTACCTCCGTCGTGATGTATCCCTCATTGTCATGTGCTGAGAGCGTATAGCTGAGTTTGCCTTACTTGGCTATTGCATAATCTACTACAAAGGGAGACCAGCTGTTGAAGTTTCGGTCTTGAAGCAGTACCGCTCCAGTACCTTCTAGTTTGGATTGGGCAGTTCATATACTTGGCCGATCATATACTGTTCAAAGTCAACTTACCATTAGTCCCACACTAGTTGAGACAACTTATATCTTCAGTGAGTGGACATGCCTCTTCTCTCATCCAGCCTTTTTCTCTCCGCTGCTACAGTGTCCGGGAAGCTTGTCAAGCAACCTATCTCGTGCTTTTCTAGCGCTTTTATGCGTTAGTTGGTTCTCCATGAAACAACTGAACCGCCTCTTCATTCTCCTTGGCAAAACCCGTACTCTGTCCTGGATGCAACCCGTACAACTTTACATGCATCACACGCTCTTATGATTTTACTACTGATGAAGAAGCTTACTGGAGATAACTTTTAGCTATCCTTCACTGAGGTGGCTCTCCAGTAGGGCTCTAAGGTTGGTGCTCACAGCCATGTTCACCTTGATCTCATGCTACAGACAGGGCAAAATTTGGCCATGGCAAAAGGTCTTACAACTCCTTGAATGCTGTGCGATTTCCTGATACAAGAACTCCACGACACGCCAAACTCAACTTCGATTTTTACTGGTTCCTGATTCTGATTCATTACATTCATCACCTTTGAAAACGAATTAAAAGCTAAATTATATTACACGTTTTCACTTCCACTAATTACATCTGACGCCTTGTAGTAAGCTGATTCGACCTCGGAATCGAGTTGCTTCTTATAATTTCATTATCTTACAGCCCAATGAAAGCGCTGGGTACATGGAAGTAATTTATAGAGTTTTTGAATACTGTTATCAAATTTTATCACCTGTCAGTAGGACCTGAGACGACTTGTTATTCTTCCCATTCCTAATAAACTTTTTTTTCATTCTACCCTAAAGTTGATTCGGAACTTATCTGAGGTATGAAAAGTGTGAAATGTGATACTGAATTAGTTCGGGATGTTGTCCATTGTACAGGTTCCACACTCAAAAATTCTGAGACCGTAAATGGAAGCCTAATGTGTTCGCCTCGCAGTCGTCAGTAAGCATCATTTTTTGTATTTCCATTGATGTTTTGTTTCTCTTTCAGTCGATACTGCGATATGTTGGAAAAATGTAACGAGGCCGTGAAAGGAGCACATAAGTACATCAAAGACTCGAAAGCACAAGATTTCCTTAGACAGAACAAGGTTTGACAGCTATCTTGTGAATTCCGTCAGTTTAGACAATCTTTAACGATTTTAGCTGTGCCCACCACCCAAAGGACACTGGACAATGACTTTCTCAAAAGTGTTCTCTTCAGAAGATCTTCCTAAATCATTCTTTGGCCCACTTCAATCGGTAGGTTCTAATGAAATGATTTTAGATTAGATAAATGCTTTCTAATTGTCTCTACTTCAAGAATGAATACTGGCTGACCTTCTCCTTCACTGATGGACGAGACAAGAAACTTGGTTGTGCTCGGTAAGTGGAAGCCTATTCTCCTTTAGTTGAGTCCCGACTGACATTCCAATCGAGTTGCTTCAGATTGTGGGTTGATGTGTGCAAATACCATCTGCAAGACAAAGCGCAAAAATGTCTACGAGACCCCAACGCTTTCAAGAACTTCATCAACGAGATCTCCTCACAGGCCGAACAGATCAGAAATAGGGGCTAATCACAGATAGCCTTTACGTCCGCTGCAGTATCATTTCCTCGTCCTCAGCTCTCTTTCATCACGAATCCGGCTCATGCTTCAGCGTTGCTTGCCATCATGCAAGTCAACTGATGTTGTAAATCGCCCAGTGCTCTTTTCATCGTTCATTAGGTGTACATCCCCATAGGCTTGATTTGACTCTCGTTTATCGTCTTTCATTATGATTCGCCAGTAAAGGTATGCTCACGTTAATTTATTTGTTAATAAAGGTGATTCCACTGTGTAACCGTCTCGAGACATGCCTGTTTCTTGCTTTTCTGCTATGCCAACAAGGAATTGTTCCTCGAGGTGTGGAAGGTTAGAAAAAAGGCCTATTTTCAGTTGCCGTAACAGTGAAAATTTTTCTTCAAATCAAGGAGGAAAGATTGGGAGAGAGAAGGGGTCGGCCTTGTTGCTGAGACTCCCTTCTACAATCTTTATCTTCAGGCTGCGAGCAAGGGGAGGATCGGGGAGGAAGCCGTTGCATTTATTGTACAGCCAGAGCATCAATGATAAAAGAGATGGTCTGAGATGATCGTCTCCTACTGTGAGGACCAGTTATTCGTTGAGGGACGGAGATAAAGCGTGTCGGCATTTGTCAGCCCCGGTTTTGGGATCCTCCCGCGCGTTCGAGTATCATTCCAAAATGGTAATGGCGTTTTGTAGGTATATGTGGGTTATATCATGAACTGTGGTGGCTAGCCAATGTAGAAGCTAACGCTGTTATCCTCTCAGGTGAGTCTGGTACCGATCAACCGACCTAGCGCGGATTAAAGGCTCGGGCGAATATTGATTGGACCGTAAAGTGGACTCCGCAAAAATGAATCCCTATCTGTTTTAGAAGTGACTGCTACTAACACGGTGCATCTTCTAGTGGCTTTATGGCTTCGTTGATTGAATTTGGCCATTCCACCAGGGGGGCCGCATCTTTGTGAGATCGGGACCTACCTATTCTGAGATGCCACTGGCTAATGATTATGTTCTTTTTTGCAGGGAGCTTAAGAGGTGATTACCCCGAGGAAATAAGAACATTCATTAGTTGATGGATTTGAGTCTCACTGGTCAAGCAGAATGAGCATCCAGGCTTCTCTGAAACAGGAGCTTTTAGTCAAAGTTCAACCAATAATGCGCTATTAGAACCTCCTCGCGTTCCGACTCTCTAGTGTACACTATTTCGTTGGTTTCTCCCATTTGAGTTAATTCACAAAACATTTGCGCTTGCACATAAATCCATTGGTAAGATAACATCTTCGACACTCTAAATGTAGGGCGAGAAGCCCGGGATCGTTTCTTGGACAAATACACGAAGAAATTCTACGATTCTTAATCCTTTTTATGCTAGTGCTAGTCGACAGATTTGTATTTGTTCTACTGATCTTTTCCCTACTTTTATTCTTCACATATGTTTGGGAACAAACTGCTTGCTGTTCTTCAACAACGTACGCTCTGATGACACAACTTCCCCTATGTATGTTATCTTCTTTTTTGATCTGAAATTTCTATTTCTTCTCACGATTATGACAATACAGGATTGGATGATTGGCATAGTTGCCTCTGATCCTGATGCACGGGCAGTAGATTCTGATACTCCGTTTACATCGAGAATCCAAAGTTCTGTGGACCATCTTTATGAAATTTGTGACACTGGCAAATCGGAAAACGGTGTAGGTAGGCCGTTACAAAGGCCCAAACATTGTCCGGTCTCTATGCGCGGCCGTGCTTCAACGGCGCTGTAGAAGCTGCACATTTCCCCAGGGGACCCGTGTAGGAATTCGAACAAAGGCATGACCTATAGCGACAGTGAAAGGCAATTTTCGAGAGTTTTGGTTTCATGTAGTCAGCTCTTTGCGTACTTGCAACAACTGAAATCTCGTCCGAATTCCCCTTCTAGATCATTTTCGTCATGATATCTCCTACAATTTCTTTCTTCACTACTTTTGAGGAACCTTATTTTTCGCTAGATAGGCTATGTTCCCGCCTCTTTCGCCATCCATGCATCCTTATGCACCAACACCAACTTAAAAGGGTGGTTAACATTACACTGAAGACTGCTGTGGGATGTGAGTGGAATTTCACCGAACTCAAATCAACTAAAAGGATTCATGTCCTTTGGTACGACTGTGTTGAAATTAAGAAATTTTCTAGATCCAGAATATGTTCCCCACTTCGAAGAGATCGAACAACTCGTCCAACAGAATTCTGCGTCCAACATGACTGCTGAAATCGTTCCTCCTTATTATCGACTGGAAAATCGTTACTTGGTGCGTTCAGATCAATTTTTTCTGAAGCGTAAGTGAGTAAAGCATAAGTGAAGCGGCGAAGAGGAAATTGAAGCGCTAAGATGAATATATGCAGTTTAGGCACAGATGTAATTTTAAATGTGATGTCCATGGGTAATATACAATGACTGTCGCCATCATGGCCACACTTTTGGGCGCAATCCGTATCTACGGTACTGGAGCCGCATAGCTTCTACTCAGCGGACCACAACGCCCTACCTGCGCCCAGTACAGGTGGACGGACCAGCCTACCAGAGACCAAGGGGCTGTTGACCAGGGAAGCCCACAGCCTTGCCACGGCGGTCCCAGCCAGGGTCTCCAAGACGGGGATCCCTGCTCCCCGTACAGGAATCAGCGCTATGAAAGCGGCAACGCAATCCAGTTCTTCCCGTCGCAACTAGGGTGCCCCAGCTCACCTTCTCCCCAAGGCAAAGTATAGAAGTAAGGAACACTAGTTTTTTTGGACTACTACACTACAACTATACTACTACAAAAAGAATACAGAAAAAGCGAGATTAGGACAGATAATGAAAATAACTCGCAGGGCACAGAGCACTAGACATGCAATACGAGAATAAGGATGCTACCATTTAGAGAAGGAGCCAATAGGCAAAATAGATAATGGCAGTTAATGTACATGAATAATGAAACATATATACAAAACAGGGTACATGACCCCTTCCTTCGATCTGCAGGCGTCCTCCAAACCAAGCTCCATCAGCTGTCATATCCAGGCCCCCGTTAGCCCCAACGATCTTTACGCTTTCCTTCTGATCAGTATCCGACAGGTGACAGCCTGCGCCTTCAATGAGGGACAGATCGGATACTGGTTGGGCTTACTCTGGCGCTCCATTGTCTTTCGGGCAATTTCGCAGCGGTACCCCGCTAGATGCCGACAGCCAGCCCATAGCGGTGCAGGACGGGTGCCGATTGACTATGCTGTTTGAAGGAACGCTTACTACGCTAGCATCCGCATGCAAATATTGGAGTAAGTTAAAAATAAAGATTACGGAACATGGTGAGAGGTCCTATTTCTAGGGACTAAGAAAGTTAAACAATAAAGCGTGTGTGTTAGCATGGGAAACTAAAGTAGCCTAGGTAGAACGCCCCATATGCGGCCTCCGTGCTTTGGGCTTTCTTTTAAAGAAGCCTTCCAGGAAAGCGTGTTAGTAATCCAGGAAGATGAGAAGGGCTGAGTTCAAATTGACTCTTTTTATTGACTATAGAAAAGCTCTCGTAACCAGGCAAGTTCGTAACGCAACAACCCAAAACACTGAAGAGCTTTGTCCCCTCGTTGAAGTGTACTTTTTTGCTTGTAATTTTATGGAAAACATAACTACTATAGCACTATATCCTGACAGCAATAATCTTTTCAGGTGTCTCCACCATACCGTTTAGCAACATGCGAAATTGAAAAAAACATGGTAACCCTTCGTCACTCAATATTCTGTTACTTGACCAACACTACACAGTTTATCGCACAAAATCGATCAATCAGCACGGAATTCTGGGACAACTGGTAGGTGATCATTGCCCTATGTGGACCTACCTCGTTACTTTCTTATTGGATTGATTTCGAAAGTATGCAATTTCCAGTATCGTTAAGGAACTCAGAAGGTGGTGGGAGTTGATGCAAATTGAAAAATCCTTCTCGCAAAAATCCATTCGTTTCCATGAATACTACTCTAGATCCAACTTGACTATTTTTGCTCATGCTCCGCTCCCTTTTGGCGGAGTTTAGCCCTGAAACCAGTATTCCTATACTAACCCCTCCACTCTTACATTTCGATCGCTCTAGGTCAATTGGAACAGTAGTTATGTATTTCCGCTCAAACACACGCACATTGACACACACACACATTGACACACACACACACTGACAAGCCAATAAAACGCCTAACGTGCAACATATAGTAAGGTTTGATATATGAATATATACTTGTTTAGCCATTTATTACATGAGGTAGTTCAATAAAGTGGGAATATATGTTCCTAACATTCAGAAACGACGTTCAAAATGAAAACTCCGTTTTGTAAGCTTTAGCACTAAGCAGATGAGCTTCAACTCCTTCCACAATGAAGTCATCTGCGGTTCCTCTGACCGTGGAAAACTGGAATCTTAGATGTGTCGAGCTTACGGAAGGAGACCTTTCATTGGTTATCCTTATCTTTTAGTCATTAAATACCGCAACATAGATGGCTGAACGGGATCAGGTCAGCCTTCCATAAGGGATTTTCTGGACTGATGTAAGATTGACCGTGCTTATCTTACTCCACATCTCATCAAGTAGGTGTAGGAATGAAACAAAAATACATAGGAGCAGATCATTGATTCTCTTTCAATGGAAACTTTTTGTTTCAGGTTGTGTGATGAGACGTTTTTACGTGAAAGCATAAGTAGTATCAAAGACACAATCGGTCCCAACTTAACCCTTTTCGTAGTCGTTCGCCATCCAGTCGATCGATTTCTCAGCGGATACGTGGATAAGTGTCTGAAGTAAGTAAAGACGAAACTATGTTGAACAAATTCTATTACAATGATTGGTTCCCCTCAATAAGAGTGTCTTCTATTTCTGTAGTGACGAAGTTTAGTCCAACAGGTATTGGGCAATGGTTGTTCACAAGTGCCTGCCAACAACGCGTTCTCAGAGTGTCCGGGAGGTTTTTAAAAATTATATCTCTAAACTGTGAAAACATGTTGCTCTCGAATGCGCTCGAGAAGGAAGAATTCATAGCATCATAGCAGTGAAAGGGTGTTTTTAATAGCTCAATACCATAGCTGATCTGTATTTGACGTGGTCATTCGAAGTAAGTAATGGTCGATCGAACGATTGACATAATCGACACGCCATCGACATAACTACCGGAGCCTTCTGTTTCACAATCGTTTTGATCGCTTCGACACTAAGGCTTGGATTGAGAAATGGTGTCTGATGAGCAGCAGTTCACCCTATCTTGTCAGTTAACAAGAAGGAGCGATTGCTTCTTTGACAAAAGACTTTCTTCGACGAAATTCGTTGATGCAAACATCCACTCGAATTTCGACATTTTTCTGGACTCCCGTCATTGAAGTCTTGAAAGTGGCAGGAAATGGGAAGGACGATCTCCACTCTCCCAACCATCATAAACGACATTCTACGCAAAAGTCACTCTCAAAGCAGGACTTCGCGAATATCACACAGTATGCGAATGTCGACAAAAACCTTTTCATTATTGCTCAAGATAAAAAGCAGATGAAAATTCACACCGGAATTTGCAATCCCTACCACTGGGCGTGAGGCCAGCTCGCTCGCTACAAAGCAAGACGTTCATGCCAAGAGCCCGTTCTTCCTTTACTCTGTCTGTTTTACTAAGAGATCCTTCCAGAACGTACAATATAGAAAAACGCAGTTCTGCTAACAGCTGAGAGAGATAGCGTTTCGAGCCCCAATTCCACTTCGCTTACAAGGGAAGTTTTGATTGTGATGATTATTGCTCGATCACCCCACGCGAGGCGTAGACGCTGAATTGCTGAAAAGGCTCGGTATAACCTGGCTGCCTAACTCCCCACATGTTAGCCTGACCTCAACCCATATGGATGCCATACTTTCAGAATCCCATAGGCTTGCTCTATAGGGAAAAAGTACAACAGGTAGAGCCTTATTCGGTTTATGGAAGGAGATTGTGGTTAAGAAGTGTCACTATGTTGATCACTGATCTGACTTTATTGTTGTATTTTCTGTTGAAAAAACCAACTGAACTTTCTCGGAACTCGCCGGACACCCCACTCCCCTTGCACAATATGTTTCATACTTTACACCTACAAGCTTTCTACAGCGCCACTCTTCAAAGCTACTCACAGCGATCGACCGTACCAGTCACTATGTAGTTGCCCTATAATAAACTAGGTGCAAGAAGACTGACCTGCGGGTAATAAATGATAAGAGCTTTGTTAATCCAAGCGGAAAGTTCCCAAAGAGGGAACAGCTCCAATTCGCGACAAGATCTCAACAAATACGCTCGGTGAGGTGGTCCCATTTCATGCTTTCATACTCTCCTCTAAAATCACATGGAAACCTACCTTCTGAAAGAAAAGATTCTAAAAGAGCAACTCACATCTTCCACAAAAAGAGGTCAGTGAGCGTCCAATAAGCTTTCCAAGTGTTTTTTACATGCTATTAACCAATACCATCCTTTCACGCATTTTGGGTAAGGCACAACCCACCATGGAAGCCAGATTTCGTCACGAGATCAGCACATCTAGCCATGATGGTATGAGTGAGTCTATGCATCTGCTTGCTCTCACCTTTGTGTACTCCTAATAGCGTAGAGAAGGATGCGATCCTGCCAGCATTAGTCAGCAAAGAGTGGGACTGTAAGAACACTGACCAACTGCAACCTTCGCTGCACCGCAACGGTTCAGCCTATCGTCTCCTTATTCAAGGCGACACAGTCTCGTCAAGGTTGTTTACAGGCTACGAAGGGTAATAAATCTGCTCAATGGGAATGAATTCGTTGGTGTGCACCTCTTATCTGCGTGTAACCGACGACACCGATTTTTCTCAAATAACACTAAGGAGGCTAAAACGATGCTCGCTCCATTGAACGAGGCAGGAAGAAGTCGAAGTTGCCGATCAACCAAACAAGCATAATTAAGGTCTGACGAAGACATTATATGCCGAAAGCTCACCAATAAAAGCGAAGAGCAAAGAGCCTCGAAAAGTACACAAAACGGCAAACAGGCACAGTTCATCAAGAACGTACGATTAGGTGGATCTAGTGTCATATCTACCCAGAATGCATCACTTCAGGCTATTCTTAGGTGTTCCAAAAACGTGGGCAAGTATATGAAGTAAAAGCTTTGAAGGCGCATCTGTGCTCTGTTATAGGATTGAGACATGAGTGCATCCACGTTAAAAACCTTAATTGTTGCTCCCAGAAAGCACGTGAGGTGTCCTTCAAGATTTGATAAATTCGCCTACTATCGAGCCGAACTTCGTAGCTCAGACTTACGCAGTTTAAACACCTCTCGTAATCACGTCTAGCACACGACAAAGTCTGAGCTCTGAGTTGAAAAGCTTCTGATTTCTCACAAGTTGAAGCACTCTTTGAGAATTAATTGATTGACAATATTTCGCCTCAAGCTAACCCCAAGCTCATTTCAGAGATTTGACCTACTACACAGAGGAAAATCGTTGTTTCGGGTGCCAGAAAGACATACATTGTTTCGTCGATGCACTTCACAATATTTTTATGGAGTACTACAATAACAGATCTAGTAATGGAAGGGACCCAGAAGCTGTTCGTATGAATGACTTCTATGTACGACACTTTGCACCTCAGACATGGTAAGATCACCTCAGAAATTGCAATCTGACGCTCAATGTTGAATTAATAACCAGCACGCAAATTCGTGTCCATCGTGGGACCGGATTCACATCAAAATAAAGTAGGTTATGGAGGTCGAGGCAGTTTTTAACACCGACTTCAGTTATCAAGAAAATTCTATCGAATGTCATCCCAGAGGAGCAGGTAGCTATAGAATCAGCAGTAAAAATGTAATTGGGGGGGGGCATCCATCCAAAGGTTAGCATATCAAGAAATGAACTCAATG